AAGGCTGACGTTTCGGGCCTAGACCCTTCATCCGAAACGTCAGCCTTTCTGCTCCTACGATGCTGCTTGGCCTGCTGTGCTCATCCAGCCCTGCACCTTGTTGTCCGAAATGAGATGTTCATTCCAACAGCCAGCGCAGACACGATGGACAGAATGGCCTTTTGTGCCCTATGACAATTCTGATTTTTGGTCGAAATGGACTAATTATAGATTAGAGCAGTGTAGCTAAAGGTTCACCTTCGACTGCTGGACAACTTTTCAACTATAATGTAGACAATTTAGGAGCTCTTGTGATTCAGGGGTAGTGCTTATTTCTGAGTAAGAAAGCCGGGTAAAGTGCCGCCTCCTCCAGTGTCGCCACATTCACAAATCTGAAGAACCCGTCCTTGCTTCTCCGGTTGCAATTTGCTGTAATCCCTCAGCCCAGAAGGCAGAGGGCGGTGCAGCAGTCGGTTCATTCGGAAGGTCTTTTCTTGGCACCTCTGGCCCTTGTCACTAACTGGGGGTGCGTCAGAGAAAGGGAGGGGAGGATGGAAATGAAAACAACGGTATAATCAAGCTTTTTTTAAAAAAAAAAGTTTTTCTTGCTATCAGCACTAGTAATGTAGATAAAAGGCCGAGTGTATTTGTTTCCGAGTTTATTGCTCCCTAATCGTTGACGGTTAGTACCCATGGCGCCTTGCGATGGGATGTAAACATCACGTGCCCAGAGTCACGTGCCCCGGGTCAGCTGTTCGCTCCCTCCCTCTTCACTGATTCACTCCTTCACTCCTTCACTCTTTCGAGATGGAGTTTCTTTACGGCAATCCCTTCAGCACCCAAGTCGGGCAACGGGTTGGTAAGAAACACATAAACATACATTTTCGCGAAACAACGGCGCTGCGTTTCCCCTCCCCCCCACAACTCTGTGGTCCTATCTCTCTGAACCAAAACCCCTGCCTGCTTTCGACCCGTTTTAAAACCTTCGCGAAGGGTTTTCCTTTAACGGCTGAAGTTAATACCACTGGTGATGGGCAGTTGCGCTAGCCAATCAGTTGCAGGCCTCTTTTGGACCGACAGCCAATGGGAATGCAGGTGGGCGGTGCCCTGCCCTTTTGATTGACAGGTGGGAACTCGGGGCTGTCAGCTTTCTTGCAATTCAGGGACTCCAACCTCCACTATCTAAATATTACATATGTACACTCACTGTGTAAATCCTACAGGCACGTTTGAAATTGCCTAAAGTGTAGTTTCTTCATTTTGTATTTTTAAAAAATTTGATATTAAGTATTTAGAATGTGAAATGTTTGGTAATATTTGAGACCAGCTCAGGGCACAACTTCAAATCCTATCTGCAGTTGCTGGTGAAATGTAAGTTCAATTAATAAAATCTGGAATCAAAAGGTAGTCTTGGTGGTAATGACGATGAAACTATCATTGTTGCAAAGTTCCATATGATTCACTGATGTTCCTTAGGGAAGTACACCTGCTTCCCTTTACTTGGTCTGGCCTCCCATGTGACTTCAACCCAGCACCAATGTTGTTGGCTCATAATTATCCTCTGAAACTGAGTAGAAGTCACTCTGTTGTCTATCCCCAATCCTTGAACAAATGCTGGTCATGCTAATGACGTTCAATATCACATGAAAGATGAAGTAAGTACAAATGGAAATAGTTTGTGTGTTTCAGAGGATGAATACATGAGAAAGGTGTAGAAGAAATCAAAATAGCAAATGTTCAGGAGGTCTAGCAGCATTTGTGGGGAGGAAAGAATATTGTTTCAGGGTGATGAATTTTTATCTGTACTGGAAAGAGTTACAGATTTTGACACATTTTCATTAAGTGCAGAGCAAGGGGTAGGACATGAGGAACAGGCTGTAATAGCATGGTAAGCAGGAAGAATAATGGCTGACCAATGACTATTCCACTCTTTCCCCTGTACCTGTTTAATTTCCATTTAATCTTTAACTTTTTGCAATTCTGGTGAAAGGCTAACTCTGTTTTATGTTTATTCTTTCCCTAAAGGCTATTAGTGAACCAGTTGAGTTTTTACAACATTTGATGATAGTCAGCACTACAGATACTAGCTTTCAATTCCCAATGCATTAATTGAACTTAAATTCCACCAGTTACTGTGGATATGAACCCACATCCATGGAGCATTGGCCTGGGCCTGTGCCTCTGAATTACTAGTCCAAAGACATCTATCCTGATCTGAGATATTTCCAGTATTCTGCCTTTATTTCAGATTATAAGACCATAAGACACAGGAACAGAAATTAGGCCATTCGGCCCATCAGCCCATTCAATCATGGCTGATAAGTTCCTCATCCCCATTCTCCTGCTTTCTCCCCGTAACCCTTGAT